CTATCCAGAAAAAGATGTCTACATTGTGGCTCAACAGGCCGTCCAGGTTTATTATACGTCATACGCGTGCAAAGACGCCGAGCATCTTAAGGGTTGGTCTGTTGTGCACAAGGTATCGCCACACGGTAAACTACCTGTCCCAAACGATGAAGATTACAACTTCAACCCAAACACATATGATAGAGAGTTCTATCAAGAAGAGGGACTACAAGGGAGGTTTGACATAGACTTAACCGAAGAGATAGGAATAGAAGTAGACAATGAAATGGATGATGACGAGGATGCTGGAGACGAGGTGCGAAATCTGAAGGACATACAAATGCTTGAGCGATTACGTTTAGGCAATGACAATGAAGACAACATTCCTCCTTCGGATAGTGTTGATGAGTTGGACAATGTTGATAGTGATGACGAGACCTATGATCCAGCTAATCTCAATCATGAAGATTATTTCTAATACATGTAATACTATGTTTTTTGTAATTATGTTTTGTTCATTTTTGCAAATATTTCTAATACATGTATTACTATGTTCTTTGTAATTATGTTTTGTTCATTTTTGCAAATATTTCTAATTACGTCTTATTTTTCTTTTTTATTGCAGGTGATTGAACAAAGATGGCGGGCGACCGTCATAGGTCTGTGAACTCGATTTACCAAAGACCACGCTAGCTGCAGGAGGAGGCGGAGGGGGCGGCGGAGGGATTAGACAGGAGGAGGAGGAGGACCGCCAGACATAGGAGGGGGCCGTCTCCTCCCACGCCGCGTGAGGAGGAGCCGGCGGTGGAGGTGGCGCCCGTGGATGAGTCGGACGATGAGCTGGTTCGGCAGACGGACGAGGAGGAGGGGCCACACGAGGACGACGAGTTGGAGGCGGCAGGCACGGGTTCTGCTTCCTCCGACTCCTCTTCGAGTGTCTACTTGCGAGGTCCCGCGGCTCCGCTTCCTCACCAACACCCAGTGATTCGCCCCGAAGGGCAAAAGTAAGTAACTTTATATGTTATCACCACTACTTCATACGATATGATGAAAAAACTAATAATTTTTCTTAATCACTTGTGCAGGAACTGGGTGGTTGTGTCGGATCGTGGTAGCGCACGGCTAGTCAACGGTATCCTGGGTCTTCTATGCAGGCAACACTTCCCTGGCATTGTCATGTATGCATCGAAGACGGAGCCGGCCTACTCGTTTGACCACTACGCCGTCGCCACCGATGCGGAGTACCCCAACAAGGCGGCACGGGTGAAGGTAGAGTTTTGGGTAAGTCTCCCTCGCACAACATTGCTCAATACGTCGCATTCATTGGAGTTTTCTTAAAATAATGAATGGATACATCACTTTTGTATGTAGACTTTTTACAGATGCGAGGAGGGATTTGAGGCCAGGGCGGAGCAGGTGACTACCAAAGCCTGTAAAAAACTCGTCACCGACATGCATCACGAGGTGCGCATCCAGACCATCGTAACCTACTACGGGTCGAAGCTTGGAGAGAGGAAAACCAAGAAAGACGCAAGAGAGATACAACTGACCCGGAAGCAGTACCTTGAGGTAAATGAAGAACATCAATGTTGATTTGTTTTGAGATTAAGTTGGTTTAATTTGATCTTCTTATATGTCCAATACTTGATGACGTGTAAATGATTCCCTGGTGGTCCCAAGCATATCCCGAGTGCTGGGCGATGATGGTGGAGAGGTGGTTCACGGAGGAGTACCACAAGATGCACAGGGATGCCCAGGACCGTCGTTTGTAGATGCAAGGTCCAGCACACCATCAAGGCAGCCGCAGCCTCACCGGATACAAACAAGCATGGGTACACGAATTCATTTATCTATTGTGACGCTCAGTTCTGCTTGATTTCTAATCATCGTGCTGTCTTTCTCGTAGTCGGCGTCACATAGTGGCCAGGCTTGCTCGGACTTCCAGGCATGGTGTATGGCCCATAAGGGCAAGGCGACGTCCGACGTCTCCTTCAACCAAGAGGACCCGCCCGAGGCATACACGAACCGAGCGTCCACTCCCGCATCAGTGAGTACACTGAGGTGGCGAGGTCGCTCCATGGGTTAGACCACGATGCAAAGGCCGTCATGAGGGCGGGGCAAGGCAAGAAGCATGGCCGGTTGGCTTGGTGACGATGTCATTGACACGGCCTCTACTCCCTCTCTCTCCCAGATCCGAGCACGGAGCATGAGTGAGAGCCCGCCCATTCGCACACGCCCGACCGCTGCACAGCACCGGGTCGACGCACTCGAGGTTATTCCTGTTTTACTCGTCATACATTGATCTTTACACACCTTAATTAGCTTAGCATTACTAAAACATTGGAGTCAAATATTACAGGCCCGACTAGAAGAAGAAATGAGGCAACGTTAGGAGCTGGAGGCCAGGCACCAGAGGATGGCGCCCCAACTGGAGGCTGAGCAGGCCGAGCGGCAGGCCCAGACGCAGAGGCTAACGGACATTACGGAGTTCCTACAAGGGCTTGGGCAACGTGTGGGCTTCTCTCTGCCAGCTGGGCTGTTGGTTCCACCTCTGCCTCCGCGTCCTACAGCTCCAGCTACTCCTGTGAGTATGAAAGTTTTTTACTTTCGCTTGTGCTTTGCTTGTATGGCCTCTACCTTCCTAGATTAGCTATCCAAATAATCTTGTCTCACATGCAATCTTTTCTCCTTTGTGCAGTCTCCATCTGACGGTGGTTCGAATAATCCACCTCATGCTCCTCCGAATGATAGAACTGGGTCTTCACCACAGTCGCAGTGGCCGAGATGAGTGCACGTTGTATTTTTTGCATTTGTTGTTCACTTGGTCATGGGCTTGTGATATATTTGTGATGCACTTGTGGACTTTGATGGACTTGTGGATTTATTTGGATGGACTTGAGCACTTATTATTATATATGTGATATATATTGTGATGAATGTGATATGTGCGGATGGATGTGTGGATGGATGAGATATATATGTGATGGATGAGATATATGATTGTATGAATCTATTTGTCACGATGGAATGTAAAAAAAAATTAAAAATTACCGTTTTGGGTCACTTTGTCGAGTGTTGCACACGGCAAAGGACCCCGTTGCCGAGTGCCATGGTCACAACACTCGGCAAAGCTGAAAAATGGGCGCTAGGAAAACCATTTTTCCAGCTTTGCCGAGTGCCATGACCATGGCACTCGGCAAAGATTTTTTTTTTAAAAAATTCAAACTTTGCCGAGTGCCGGCCAGAGAGCACTCGGCAAAGAAATTTTTTAAAAAAAATTCAAACTTTGCCGAGTGCCCGCCAGAGCGCACTCGGCAAAGAATTTTTTTAAAACTTTGCCGAGTGCCGGCTAGAGGGCACTCGGCAAAGATTTTTTTTAAAAAAAAATCAAACTTTGCCGAGTGCCGGCCAGAGGGCACTCGGCAAAGAATTTAAAAAAATTTAAACTTTGCCGAGCACCGGCTAGTGGACACTCGGCAAAGAATTTTTTTTAAAAAAAAATAAAATTTTTTTGCCGAGTGCCTGCAGGGTAGGCACTCGGCAAAGCCACCGTCAACGGATTCGGCACCGTGATGGTCGCTTTTCTTTGCAGAGTGCCCCTGAGACTCTCGGCAAAGCCTTTGCCGAGTGCCCGATAAAAGACACTCGGTAAAGAGGTCTTTGCCGATCAATTTTTTGCCGTGTGTTATTTGCCGAGTGCCGCACTCGACAAGGCTTTGCCAAGTACAATTTAGCCTTTGCCGAGTACCCCAGGCACTCGGTAAAGAACCTGAATCCAGTAGCGGAGAGGAGGCACTAACGGTGTGGCCTCAGACTCCGGAACGGAGTGGTGGGCGCCGGCGTGTGCGCGCCGCAGGCTGGTTGGGTCGTGGGCATGGGGCAGGACGCAGGCGGGGCAGAGCGGCGACTGGGTGTCAACTATGAAGTGACCAACCATCGACCGTGCTCCTCCTGCCACTGTCCCTGTCCGTCAGTCCATGCGCCACCGGACTATGCTCTTTTTTACTGGGCCTAATTCTGGCCTCTTGCTCGCCTTAACCCACAGCCTGCGCAAATGTTATCTCGGCGGAGAAAAAAAAATCCTTTGCACAGTCTTATACGGCAGTTTTATTTGACTACCAAATATGCACATACATATTAGCAATATCTTTTTATATGTTTTAAAAGTAAGAATGGAAAGTTGTATATCTATTTATGTTTTACCTTTTTTAGAAAAAATGAACAGCTATGATTTTTTTATGTATTAGCAATATTATGACAATGTAATATTACTTAGGTATCGAATTACAATTTTAATATTTTTCTACCATCGTAAGGCAGTTTAAAAGGATGTTGTTCTCTACAGTAGATTTACAAGTTCTTAGCAGTATCTATTTTTTCTGTCTTTTTTATGTTCACTTTTACCTTTTTAATAAGCAACTGGAAATTGATACGCAAGGGTGCTGCGTTGTTGTGTTATAGTGCCCTTTAGTTCTCAGCATTGCCACAAGAAAGTTTTCAAATTTTTTTGTATGTACTTTGTTCTTCATATCTTGTTTACTTTTTTTTTATGAAATCGGAAGGGAGAAGCACTCCCCACCTACTTGATTGCATTGGAGCAACAAAACGCTTGTTGCTCATTTACAAAAGTCTGAATACATAAGGGAGGGAGGTAGCAAGAATTCTCTAATAGAGTTCAATTCATAAAGAAACTGGGCCCCGCCGCACCCTCAATCGGTGGCCGCCGGCACTGTTGCTGCACCAGGTGGAGGAGGAGCAGGCAGAGCGGGGATGCGGCACGCGCGATGAACCGGTGCCCGTCGGAGTGGTACTTCCAGAAGTTCCTGGAGGAGGTCGTGCACGATAGCCAAGCCGTCCCCACCATCGCCGCGAAGGAGGAAGGGGAGCATGAGTAGAGTACCATCGACGTGCTCCTCGAGGTGTTGCCTGGCCGCCACGCGCAGGCGACGGAACTCCTCCGGCTCCTGGTGCCCGCGCGCGGCGCAGCGGCGCTCCTGCTTCTCCTCCGCGGGGGCGCCGCCATGGGGGAAGACGCGCGCGCTCCTCCTTGCTCTCCGCCACGTGCGCCCTCGCCCGAGCCGCGTCGCCTAGGCCACCCTGCGCTCCCTCCCGTCCCCTCGTGCACTATGGGCGGCGAGCCGGAGCTCGGCCTGGACAAGAATGAGCCGCCGTCTCTCCGCCGGACGCCACCTGCTAAAATGCTGGTTCGCAGGTGCTCGGGTCAACACCGGCCACGGACACAGGAGTCCGGCTCGTGCCACCTTCCCCCAGCGGCTCCACGGCTAGGCCATTGGCCGTTTGTGAAACATGAGGTCAGGGTCGCCGCCGGCGTCGAACTTGATTTTGGCCCCGAGCTTGACATGGACGACGCGTGCCATGTGTTCGATGAAATGCCTGCATGGTAATTTTTTACCTCTCTTTTTTTGTTGATTTGTCCACTTTTTCTGGATTTAGGCGTTGTTGTCCTCTTTGTCAATGGCACTGCTTGTTCCCAGGTACTGCAATTTTCTGGTAGTGTTCGGCTTGAATAAACTGGTGAGGTTTAGACAGGGGCCTTTATAGGGTGTGCTCTGAAAAATGAATTGTGCAGGCCCTGAAGATTTGATTGGGACATGTTTCTTGTGATGAAAATTTAACATTTGAAATATGGTAGACGAAGTGGGGGGAACAGTCCATGAATCAACATTTTAAATATTTGATCGTGCAGCCCTAAGTATATTGATTTGGGAAGTTGGGACCGAAGTTTTCATTTAGAGTGATGATACTGGTTATTTCTTTCAGAAATGAGAAACATATGAAGATCTTGCTCTACTACTATGGCACTCTTATGGTACATTGGCTGCACTACTCCACGTGCGTTAAATACTTGCAGCCTTCTGAATTTAACTCAAGGAAACTTGTGACATCATAGTAGCTATGAACTTAGTATGTTGTTTGCATTAGTGTGGTGTACATGTATATTGTTTCATTTCATAAGAAATCAGTTGAGTCTTTCATGGGTTCTTTTCTGATTGAAGTCTGTATGGTTACTTGAAACATATGCAGGAAACTGTGTCAATTTATCGATCACTCTTTCATCCCCAAATTTATCGTCTGACCAATCAACTCGAGTCTGCAATGTGCTTGCACTCCTCCAGGTATGCTTTTACATCAGAAAGCAAAGTACTCATGGCACTGGAGATGCTTTAAAGCATCATCTATCAGTTCATTTTGGTATTAAAATCTATCAGTATTATCAGGGATACAGGATATGTTAACTTAGCCATGATAATATGAAAAAGCTGCCAATTTCATAGTATACTGCAATATGGGGTTATTTTAAAGTGCCATTTATCAGTTCATGCACCTCGAATTGGTTTTGTCCATCACTCTGTTTCCTTAATTTCTTTTTTGTATTACTTGTGTTCTGCAGTGTGTCGCATCGCACCCTGATACTAGGATGCCATTCGTAAATGGTAATGACTGCTACCCAACCATTACTCAAACATAATATCTTTTATGTTTGCTTCTATGCTGACTACTCAGTTGGCACATTCCTTGTACTACCTGCTTGTTTGAGGAGAGATGAAGATACATAAGCAAGCATACCCTCGAGAAGTTGAGATTTAATCACTTGTTCTTGTGGTTTCTTATGCTAACACTGGTACATATTCTAATATCTTTTTCTCCAATCTCTCATGCATAAATTTGTTTGCTTTCCATCGACATACTTGATTGCCTTTTAACATTCAGAACAATGTAAATTTATGACTTGATTTGGAAAGAAATTATCAATCACTTCTAGACAAATTTCTTGATTGGGTCTGTGATGCTATTCCTACAAAATTGAATTTGGTCATCCTCTGACGTTTCTCTTGTTTGGTCTACAGACCAAGAATGCTTCCAATCATTATATGAGAAATATGAGAATGCATCTACCAAATATATTATCTTCAGAACTCCCTTTTTTGTAGTTGACATGAGAAAATGCAGTATTGGAATATGGATCTTCTGACTTTATGTTTCACTTCTCAGGTGAATTTTCATCTTCAGAGCTGACACGAAGTGGTTATGCAGAACTCGTAGAAATTTTTATCTTCAGAGCTGACACGACTATATTGTTGTAGTTGCTTCTTTGCACATTATAGTTTTGAATGTAAAGCCAGAACATATACTCTAGGTTGATGACTTTATGTTATCTCCATTTACTGTATGCAGGAAACCATGGAAGAACATGTCCCCACCGGACAAACTCAGAGCCATTGTCGCTTGCAATAATAATATCAATGATTTTCTATATATTGCTGATGATAAATTTTGCCACATATACTCAAGTGGATACCTTATTCTATTGTATATGTTTGTGTGGAATAGGCCTAAAGTTACATATTTATACGGTGAGTGTAACATACTTTGTTTTAAGGTTTCGTGAGAGATTTTTTCAAGACAAGTAGTATTACTTATGTGACAGACATTAATATTTATATATATACTCGAATCTGTGTACACAATGGTGTGGAGATATAGTGGAACTTATTCATGAATTTATTGACGCACGGAAAAAATGGATATCGGAGATTTCTTCCGGCCGAAAGGTATATACATTAGAGTTTGTGAGCCTGCAACACCGTGCTCTCCGTGACTGTGTTAATTTTCTGAACTTTGCTTTTTCAATTAAATGCCACTTTAACGTCGATATTTAATTTTACAGTATTGTTATCGTATCATGCGATCCGTGTGTTTTTAGTACAAAAGTTTAATTGTCCCGCAGTAAACGCACAGGTACGAACATGTCATCCGCGCCGCTGCCGAACACGCTGCTGGTCTGCTGCTCATGCGGTGCCGCTCGGCACCGCCGAAGGGACTGTCCATGTCCGGCAGGAGGAAATGTGAGCAGCTGGCCGGCGAGGTCGACCAAGAGCTGTGGACGGCGTGCCGAGAGACGGTGAAATAGAGGAGGGCGATCGAGGAGCTGGCGTTCATGAGCACACTCGACATTGTCACTGGCAGTATCGCGGCGGATATTTACAAGGGCATTTTTTTAAAGTGAGCCTTTATTTTGAGAAAAAAATTGAACTCTATGATTATATTCTTTTGAGACGTGAGCCTTTATTTTGAGAAAAAAAATTGAACTCTACGATTGTATTTTTTGGGACGGAGGGAGCAGGAAGCCGGGGGCCTATTCTTGGTTGTGGGGCCCATTATTTTTTGGCATCGCCTACACGCTGTGGACGGCCTTATCCCCAGCGCTGCTGCTGCCGCGGCCTTTTACTGCGTCTGCTGCTCGCAGCAGCAACAGCCGGTTCGGCTGGCTTCGAGGCCAAACGAACACTGCTAATTGTACACGATGAGTGGGATTTACGTGTGACTCCAAAGCAGAAGTTTGGTGGCCAAAGTCTACGCGTGGTTCACCTGATGCTAGTCCCAACGCATATAATAACATACTGTATGTACTTCCTCCGTTCCGAGTAAAATCAATTTTTTTAAAAAAAATTCACGGATTTATAGAAAAGAGTGTCAAAATTTATAACACCAAATTAGTATTATTAGAATATTAAATACATGATAAACTCCATATTCATAACACAATAATTTAGTGTCACAAATATTTATATATTTTTTCTATAATTTTGGTCAAACATAAAAAAGTTTGACTTAAGTCAGCTCTAAAAATTAATTTATTCAGGGACGAAGTATTCAACAAGTGCAAATTTAAATATTTTGTTGGTATGGTATAATATTTAGGAAGAGAAAGAAGAAATTGGTATCATCTAGAGCAGATGATACATTTGGGACAAAAAACCTAAGTTTTGAAAACTGCACACATGTTTTGGGCCTGTTATCACAGATACACTTGATGCAATAGTCAATTATCTTATATGATTCATAAGGACAGTCTTAATCCCCCAAATCATAAAGTTTTCATAACATTGAATAGCTCGCTCTATTAGCAAAAAAACATATGAAGTGGTTGAGGTGCAGATCCTAACCCAATCCTAGCCCAAACACAAAGTTAGATCAAAGATAGGATTTGATTAGAAAATTAGGAGGGCTTGGATATGGGAGGAGCAACGGCGATACCTGGCCATGGATGCCTTGGCGGCGTCGAGAGAGAGAAGAGGTATGTGCTGGGGCTGCAAATTAAAAGGAATTGTAGGAATATTATGAAGAAACTATCGCGGTGTGTGATTTAGTTTCTAATAAACTTTGCGCAGCGGCAAAGGCCGGCCACGGCGCGCAGCAAAAAACTATGCAATGGAACGCGAAAATACGAAAGCGCGAAGGGAATAGAAGCCACCCCAGGCCCTAACCACGATGCCATGCAAAAAATATTCAGGCAACCTAGGAGTCGAACCATGACTGCATTAATATACAACAGGCGTGGGGTAGTAACCAATTGAGCCCTTGTTTAGTTTAGTTGTAGGAATTTGGATTTTGGGGCTACTGTAGCAGGTTCGTTTTTATTTGGTAAATAGTGTTCAAACATGGACTAATTAGGCTCAAAACGTTCGTCTCGTAATTTCCCACCAAACTGTGCAATTAGTTTATCTTTTCGTCTACATTTAATGCTCCATGCACGGGCCGCAAACATTCGATGTGACATGTACTATAGCAACTTTTTAGAAATTGAGGTGGAACTAAACAAGCCGTGAACAAGTAGATATTAGAGACTCCTTCATGGTATTTAATGTGGGCAAAACAGGAAACGTACACCCTAATTAATGACTGCTTGGTACGTGAATTCACGTCCATAACGGCATTTTTTCAGGAAACCGGAGGGAGCAGCCAGTTTCAGGACCGGATCTCGAGACTACTTTAAGAAATAACCTCATGATACTATGCGTTGCAGTGTCATATCGTTTCTATAACATGACATCTTCGTGCAAAGTGACATATATGATATGTAAATAAACATGTCCCCTGTATTTCAGGTGCCTAAATTTTAAGACGATTTCAAGTAATACTTTTGTACCACCAACTAGTACAATTAAATTATGACTTTTGTGATTTGTTGCTTGTTTTGTGTCATAACATATCAATTTTTTTGTCCTTTTCTATCTATAGAAATAATTGTAAATTTTTAATTGTCTTTGTGCCAACAAATATCAGATTTTGTCTTTGAGCTTGTTCTGCCACCGCCGATCGGAGCCCCGCTTTAACACGCCCTACCGCTCGAGCTCATCCGCATGCTTTTCCCCACGATGTGGCTTCAGCCTAGGCACCGCGCCCTGCCTTCCAAATTCACCTAGCCTATGGTTTCTTATCCCATCTCCTCATGTCAGTAAGTAGCAAGGAGGGCTAGCTAGCTGCCTCAACCGCATCTGGCCACGGTAGAGTCCTACACCACGATAATTCGACAATTAGCTCGTCGTGGGCCATGTTCGCCACCGTGACCTTGCACTCGGGAGAGAGGTAGGATTGGAGCGGTAATAGTTCAATTGCTCGTATCCTTGAACTCGCCTCGACTCACGGCCTCCGGTGCTCGCGCTATTTTGGCCAGGGTTCTCGACGATGGTGGGCTGACGCGTCGGTGTCCATCCTGGAGTACCGCCGCCCTGGTGGCTCGCACGTGGCTAGATCACCACAGCGCTCTCCAGCTTCAACCGTCAGTAGGGCGTACACTACGGTGAGCCACTGATGCTTATCCTCTACTTCTACTCTGCTGAGCGTACGTAGGTTCATCGAAACTATCGCGCCGTCGCGGCGGATAGCCGCTCGCCATTGTAGCCCGTGATAGTGCACCTCTGAGTCCTCAACCGCCACCCATCCTTGTGCGTTCAGCTGTAGATGGTGGTTGGCTCCTTACTCTCGTCGAAGCGAGCATAGGTTGCCTGGCATAGCTGCCTTATGCCGTGGGCCGCCGTGCCGGCGTGCGCGCGGATTCCAGACATCTGCCCATGGTAAAGGCAAAAATATCCGATGGTTTGGTTGCAAAGTTACTGACGGTAGCTATAGTGCGCATAGTACTCGTATTAATCTCTGAAAGCTCAGGGGTCTTTCTGCAAAACAGCCAACGCGAGCAGGCGCCACCGGCCTTGGGCCGTACTGGGCCATCGCGCCGCACGCACAGCTGCGCCGCGCTGGGCTACCGGGCCAGAAGGGGTTGCTGTCGGCCCTTTTCTTTTTCTAATGCATTTTTAATTTAGTTTCTAAGGTAAACTTATAAATTCAGTATAAAATTGTGTAGTTAACCAAAAATTATGAAACCAATTTTGTTAGGTTTCTAAAATCATGATCTATCTGCTAGTATATTTTGTTCACATAGTTTTATAATATTTTCAGAAGTGATCTAATTAATTTGAGATGCTTAATATTGTTAAGATATAAATTTAAAGGATTTTTTGTGATAAATTGGTGATAGTGTTGGCTCTGAAACTTTCATAGTAAATTCCTCATATTATTAGGTGCTCACTATAATTTTTGTAGCTCCATTATAATTAGTTTGCTAAGGTAGCTAAATGAGTCCTAGTTCAAAAATATATGTTTAATCAATAAAATGCTGAAACACCTTGGAATTTTAAAACTAGAACATTTTTCTGGAGGCGAAGTCTTACTTGATGACGTGGATACATAGACTAGTACGTTAGTCATTTAAGCTAGCTTATTAGCTTGTGGAGTGTAATCGTATTTTTAAGAGTTACGGTTACCGTTGATTAATTGCGTCTCTACGTTGCATCCACATATATCATAATAGGAACAACGATGGATCATGGAGTCGACCGAAGTAGCGGAAAAGATGGCGTCTTGATGATCATGTCACCATGATGGAATACTACTTTTTGGTTGTATCTTACCCAGGGAAGCCCCGGTATATAACCCCTATTATTCTACACTTTATTTTATGCTTGTGCATTAAGTTTTGAGGAGTTGAATGAAAACCCACTTGCATATATATATCCTTATCCTATGAGTTTTACAAGTATGTCAGGATCGTGTAGATTGCCATGCTATAGGACTCCAGTAGAAGTCGAGTGATTGCCTGTCACTCGCAAGAGATAGGAAATATATTATTGTTGTTATTATATTACTATCACATAGAATATATATATATGGATGATAATTGGAGACCAGGCGGAATGGTACTTTGGATCTGGACTTAGTTTGGCATTCGAGCGAGGCTCGGATT